GCTCTTACGAAAAAAAGTACCTCGTAAAATAGTTACAGCAAAACGTCGTGAAGCAAAAAGCCACCAGAAGATGCAGGGTTGTGAAGAGAGTTTCACTCACGCACCGTGTGTTTTTCTTTTTCAGGGCGACAAGATGAGCTCCCTGCTCCTGCACAGGAGGTAGCGGCCCTGGAGGTCGTGGTCGATCTTGCACCTCTTCCTGTACCTGCTGCCTTACCTTTGCCTGTCGATCCTGTACCTGCTGCCTTACCTTTGTCTGTCGATCCTGTACCTGCTGCCTTACCTTTGTCTGTCGATCCTGTACCTGGTACAGGTGACCTTCCTGTCGATCCTGCACCTGGTGCAGGTGACCTTCCTGTCGATCCTGCACCTGGTGCAGGTGACCTTTCTGTCGATCCTGCACCTGGTGCAGTTGACCTTCCTGTCGATCCTGCACCTGGTGCAGTTGACCTTCCTGTCGATCCTGCACCTGGTGCAGGTGACCTTCCTGTCGATCCTGCACCTGGTGCAGGTGACCTTCCTGTCGATCCTGCACCTGGTGCAGGTGACCTTCCTGTCGATCCTGCACCTGGTGCAGGTGATCTGCCTCTTCTTCCCTTTCCTCTGCCTGTCAATCCTGCACCTGTTGCAGGTCATCTGCCTCTTCTTCCCTTTCCTCTGCCTGTCAATCCTGCACCTGTTGCAGGTCATCTGCCTCTTCTTCCCTTTCCTCTGCCTGTCAATCCTGCACCTGTTGCAGGTCATCTGCCTCTTCTTCCCTTTCCTCTGCCTGTCAATCCTGCACCTGTTGCAGGTCATCTGCCTCTTCTTCCCTTTCCTCTGCCTGTCCGTCATCTTCCTCTTGCAGTAGACTACGTACCTCCAGGTGTCGTCTACACTCCCCCTGTCTGGCCAGGAAGAGATGATATTCCAAGGATGTTTCCCGTGCTCGTTGCTGCCCCAGCTGCCTGGCATCCACACGCTCCACCACCTAATGGGGTAAGTTTTTTTGTTTTGTTGGAAATGGTTTGGATTTTGTTTTCTTTTTTTTTTTCTTTTTTTATATTGTTTCCATTCCCTCTTTTTTGGTGTTCTTGTTTCTTTTAGAGGTAAGAGATTTACTGCTACTTCAACTGCAATAAGGTCACAGGAACGTGAGGGAGTCCAACGTATTACTGTATGGTTGAAGTTGAGAATTAGTGGTCAAAATCCAATAGTAACACTACCCCCAGTGGGTCGGGGGGATATAAATAGACCCACTGCTTCGTCTGCAGAAGGTGCAACCCCTTCAAAGGCGAGGTGTCGCACTCGGACCCCAATCCTCTGAGATCCGGATGCGACACCTACTTTGGTGTATCTTCCTCTTCCTCTTCTCCTTCCTTCTTTCTTTCTTCTTCTGTCTTTCTTGCCACCGCTGACCTCATGTGCAGCAAAAAGAGAGGTCACCCATCCCACAGAGTGGGCGCCTTGTTGACCGTGAGGTGCGACCCGTGCGGAGGGAAACCGGGTACCTGGCGGTTGAGGTGAGATCAGTCCACGGACTGTCCCTCACCAACACACCTCTTTGGCCCAGGTTTTCCTCTTAGACGGGAGGGTGGCACGGCCCATGCCACTCAACCGGTTGAGAGCTGAAACCCCATCAAGCCCTGGGTCAATCTTGACGGGAGGGTCTTGTACTTTCTCGTTGAGAGTATAGCTCCGGGGTAGCCCTGGCACAGCTCTGGATATCCGAGCTATGTGTCCCCTTGTTGGGCTCCAAGGCGGGCGGGGAGCCCCGGAGTCGAATCAAAAAGAAAACTCTCATGGATTCTAAAAATCAAAAAGACCCTTCCCCAGCTCCCAACGTTAGAAAGTCTCGGCTCGCGGAAGCGGGTGCGGCCGCCGAGCCGAGCAAACAAACTACTAAAGGAAAAAGGACCTTTACGACTGCCTCTGCCCTCCCTCCTCTCAGGGAGCTTCCGCGGCAGCCGTACTTGACCATCCGCAGCACCGATGCACAGAAAAAGATGACTGATTTAAACGTTTTCAAGATAGGAGATGCTCTAAGACAGGTTCTGGGATACATTCCTACGAATGTCCAGAAACTGTCCTCTGGTGCTCTCCTCATCAAGTGTGCATCGG